TAATTAAATTAATTTTTTAAGTAAAAAAGATGCTTATTTGAACGTTCGAATTTTTAGAAAAATATCAAGTAGACCATAAAAAAATGCTCAGAGAAAAATTTTATTTAAACCAAATATAATTTATTTGACTTAAATAAAAATATATTTATCTCCCTCAGAACCTACTGAATTATTTATTTGTTATTCGAATAGAAATTTAATTCGACACAAATACAATTTTTACTTGAACCAAATAAAATTTATTCAAATAAAATATAAAATGTATTTACAAATTTATTTGAACCTAAATAAAATTTATTTCAAATAAATAAAATTTTCCAGAAGGAAATAAAATTTATTTGAACGAAGTAGAATTCATTTAAATCAAATATAATCTAGAGTCAAATAAAATTGTATTTGTCACAGAGCCTACTATAAATTTATTTTTTTATTATAAATAAAAATTTACTTAGCACAAATTTAATCCGAAAAATAAAAACTAACCAAACCAAATAAAATTTATTTGAAACGAATAAATAATTCAATTGCCTTTCAATTAAATATTTTTTTTTTCCTTGTCTTACAGAGACAAAAATCATACAAGTTAAATATATAAATAATTAATGTGACAAACGATTTTGAGTAATGAAAATTTATTGTTAGAGTCTGTTTTGAAAATTTTTGAAGCTATTGTTGAATATTTTCTACTTTGTTATAATACGTAATAGAAAAAACAAAAAATGAATCACTTTCGAGTTATTAAATTATCCATCATCACTTTATCCAAACGAACAACACACAAGTGACTGGACCTGTGTACCATTCATAACTTTTTTTTTCTCTTACTCTGTACATTTTCATATACATCAACTGTTTGGAATTTTTAACGTAAACTATTATCAAAGTTTATTCGAAAAAGCAGGTGTTCCTAATATTCCTAATTCGTTTTCTTTTTTCCTTGCGAATTTTGATCTTCAATAAAAAAAGGAATAAAATTTCAGGGGAGTTAAAAATTACTCCTTTATATCAGAATTCACTGAATAAAACTAAAATAATACAAAAACTATATTTTAAAAAATGGGAATTAAATTTTAACTCTTGAAGTTTATAAAAGTCACACCTTTTGGGAGTTAGGCAAAAGGAGTGAAATTTAGAGAGTTAAAATTTTACTCCTCCTGCTTTAACTCCAAAAAGTTATCATCAGATTTAAGTTTTTAGAATTAAATCAAAAGGAGTAAACTTTAGAGAGTTAAAATTTTACTCCTCTTGCTTCAACTTCAAAAAGGTGCGCAAATTTACAAAAAAAAACCGTTCGGAGTTAAAATTTAACTCCCTTTTTTTTACATATATTGTGAAGGGCATGAAATCTGAAACTGAAAATCTTTCGACTATTCGTCAAACGAAAATAAACTTTTTTTTAATAGACCCATATAAAATAAAGAATTTATAATTCATCAAGGGATAATTTCTTAAAATGACGAGCAATGTTATGAGTCAGAGGACACGTGACATAGCGGGCGAACGTTTAAATAGAAATAATGGTGACCCTGGCGATCGTCAAAGGCGATAAAATCTAACGACCCCGAAGAAACGTATATATAATACAGATACTTAATTATGCTTTATATACTAAGCTCAATGAAAGTTCGCATCACTTCTCAATTAAAATAAAAAATACAAAAAAAAATAAATAAATACTTTTTCAGAATATTCATATATTCTACATTCTAAGATTTAATAAATCTTTCCTGCGCTCGAAAAAATTAACACCAAAGTATAACGGGAACATTAATCATTTATTACTAAAAGTTTTAAAACTATTTGTTGATTATAATAAGAATATGAAAAATTAACTTGTTAATAATGAGCAAAAATTTAGAGCCGGTTCGATTGATTATGTCAAAAAATAATTGAAGTGCAATTAATCTAATGAAATTAAATTACTAAACAATTCATTACTTAAATTTATTTATTTAATTTATTTAAATTAATATTTAGGTAAATAATAATTTAAACTAATATTTAGATAAATAATCACTTAAATTAATATTTAGATAAATAATTACTTAAATTCATATTTAGATAAATATTTATTTAAATTTATATTTAGATAAATATTTTTTTAAATTTTTTAGATAAATATTTTTTTAAATTTATATTTAAACAAATAAAAAGTAATATATTAACTAATTGATTGAACGAATAATAAAATAATTTGTTAACTGATTAATTACTGGACTAATTACTAATTACTGGACCCAATGATATGATAATTTTTACCTATAAAATTTACCAATAAAACAATTTTTTAACTAAGTAATTAATTGACCTAATAATAAAATACTTTCTTAACTAATTAATAGACTAAAAAATATAATAATTTACTATCTAATTCTTTAGTTAAATAAATAATAAAATAATTTGTTAACTAATTAATAATACAAATAATACAATAATTTATTAATTAAAGTATTTAATTCACTATAGTGATTCATTTAACCCAGAAAAAATTTTTTAATCAAAATATAATTTATCTGAGTTAAATAAACAAAAAAATTTTTTTTATTATTTAAATAAAAGTATATTTGTCTCAGAGGCAGCTAGATTATTTATTTGTTTTAAATAAAAATTTCATTGAACAAAAATTAAACGTTTAGTTAAACAAAATCTAATTTTATTTGAGTCAAATAAAATTTATTTGTAATAAACAAAAAGTCTAGTTGGTTCTGAGACAAATATATTTTTTTCTGGGTGTAGTAATTAAGTAATTTAATAAGATTTGAATTAATTAATTAATTAAAAATTGACTAATTAATTAAACAAAAAATGAAATACTATCTTAACTAACTAATCAATGGACCAAATAATATAGTAATTTATTAATTCAATATTCAATTCAATAAATAATAAAATAATTTTTGAATTAATTAAATAATTAAGAAATAACAAATAAAGTAATTTGTTACCCATTAATTAATTAATTTTATTATTATTTTATTATTAATTAATTAATAATAAACAGATAATAGAAATCTTGAAGTAAATAGAATATTAAATATCAAAATAATTAATTTGTAAATTTAATAATTTAAAGTATATAAGTACTATTAAGATAAAAAGGCAGTTCATTTTCAACAGGTGTTGCAGATATCATATTAACTTGAACCTCACGTATTTATGTTTAGAGAAATATACTTCTACAATTTCAGATCTTAATGATAATGCGAACAAACCAATTAAAGATCTAAATCTCTGTTCATTTAAAAACGATATTTTTAAATGGGTAAATAAATTTTTCTATTAACATAATTTTTTCAAAATGAATTAATTCAGTTAAAAATAGATCTTTTGAATCCATTTATTCCTACAATCAAGCAAATTAAACTCTTATTAAACTCTATATTAAAAAATTGAAAATAATTGAAATCTCACGAAGAATTTTATTAAATTTTGTTTGTAAATAATTGAATTCCAGTGAAAATGTTTATTTTGGAAAAGAATTGAATTCTTACGGGAAGAATTTTATTAAAATTTCTTAAATAATTGAATTGCTTTGAAGAATTTTATTTTTTACGAAAATAATTGAATTGTTTCGAAGATTTTTACAAACAATTTTGACAACAATTGCATTCCTAGGAAGAATGTTATATTTTACGAAAATAATTTTATTCTACGACTAATTTTATTATTTTTTCATATTTATAAAGCATTTTATCAAAATTTTTTTAAATAATTGAATTTTCGAAAAAAAATTTATTATTTATGAAAATAATTGATTTCTAGCGAAGAATTTTATTCAAATTTTTTTAAATAATTAAATTCCCATAAGAAAATGTATTATTTATGAAAATAATTATATTTTCAAGAAGAATTGTATTGCAATTTTCTTTAACTAAATCTTGTAAAGAATTTTGTCAAAATTTTTTTAAATATTATTAGAATTTTTAAAAGAATTTTATTTAAATTTTTCGAAATAATTGAATTTCTTAGAAGTATTTTTTTCCAATTCTCTGAATATATTTGAATTTTTTCGAGAAATTTCATTTAAAAATTGAAAATAATTGAATTGGGTCAAAGAAATTGATAAAAAATTGGTAAGTATAATTTAATCCATGTAAAATTTTTATTTCAATTTTGTTTAAATAATTGAATTCTTTTGGAAAATTTTATTAAAATAGAGATATTAAAAATAATTGAAATAATTTCTAAAAATTAATTTGATGATAGTTCTTGAAGAATTAAGTTATTTAAAAATAAATTATTGTCAGAAATAGAAAAAAATTGAAGGTTTTGTATAAAAATTTCATAGTTTATGAGGCAAACAAAAAAGACTAAAATTCAGAAAATTTTGATTTTCTTATAAATTCTAAAAATTTAATTCTTTCCAGTACTTTTAATAAAAATTCCTGACTTTTCCCTGACCAATTTTAATTATCCTGACTTTTCCCTGACTCTTCTCTGAATTCCCTGACCTGTGGCAACCTTGTTTACAAAAAGATTTCGAAAAAAATTAAAGCAAAAGAAAAAATTTGATTTAAAAGAATTTGATTTAAAATAATTTGATTTGAAATAATTAGATTTAGAAAAATTTCAGTGAAGAAAAGAAAATTGCTCTGCTCGCAGGTGGGAAAAAAAGGTGTAAACCAAACTCGATATAGAAATATATAAAATGTAAATCACAGCACTAACAACGCACTTAATATAATACTTGTGTTATCGCGAGCAGGGGCGGTGTTATCACTCTGATATCCAACATATATACATCCCCCACAGTCGGTCCTCGGTCTCCAGTAACTCGCGGACCACCGACCCAGTTAAGTGCCAATTTAATCTACACTCAAAATATTTAAATCCCATACAGAAAAAGGATTATCATATCGCCCATAATGTTATTTTTCCTCCTCTCATTTTTCCTCCAATAAAACAAAAAAATAATTCAAAACAAAATCCTAACAAACTATAAACCAAAATATCCTCATCCAACCTCATCGAAAAAAAAAATATTAAATTCATTCCCTTACCAAAAATTTTCTTCTGATACTTGGAGACACGTTGACTGTTCACCTCATCACGACTCTTTCTTCTCTTCATTTTAAGTTCACTTTCCTTTCCCTAAACTCTCTTCGCACTAACGCCTCAAAAAACACACTTTTTCAAAATAATAATTTTTTTCCAGAACACGTCTATCACTTCTGACTAGTGAAGAAGGAAAAGACGTACGATCAATCGACAATCGTTTCAGCAGAGGAAATAAAAATCAGTTCAACTAGTGCTGAATATAAAAAAAACTTAGAAAGAGAGAATTAAGAAGAGAGAGCAAGAGAGTGATATATTTCTTCTTTTCTTCTTTCTCTCTCTCTCTCTTTCTTTCTTCTCTCAATCGTTCTTGATTCGTTCTATGATCGAGAGCAAGCTCTCGTGAACATAATGTGCATAGAGCAAAATGCAATCAAGAACCACAGAGAGAGAGACCCCGAACAACAAATGCGTTGGAGAGTTACAAGGAGCAATAAGAGGGGGAGGTTGTGGTGTACCTCAACTGAAATGGTAGTGGGAATAAGCAATCGTTCAAGGGGAAAACTGCATGCAACAAGTGGAAGCATTATAGAACTTCAATGCATGTATGCGACTTCTCCTCGTCGTTCAAACTTGAAACGCTAATATATATATTACATATAGTCACAGTCAAGTTTCAATGTATAAAATATTCCTCACCACTCACGATTTGTCTATATATGTGTGTTTGTATGTGTATTTTTTCCTTATCAATCCAAAGCTTTCCTCCTTCCACCCCCGTTTCTCTATCCCACATATAATACATATAGCCCTACTCATTTTGCCGCATTTTTGAAACCAAGAATCGTCCAGTACTGCACTATTCTACTACTATACTTGCGCGATATCCTTAACCAACAATTTTGTTGCAGCAAAATTAAAGTACACAAAAATTCGATTACTAACAATTTATTAATATCAACTATTCATTTATTACAATTATTTATTTATTAATATAAATTTATTTATTATAACAAAAATTAATTTGAATAATAAAATTAACTTAATTAAAATTATTAAATTCTTACAAGTTTGCTACAAAAAAATTTTCTATTTTTCAGGATGTTGCTCAGCAATATCCCAGCTACATTCAGATCATTACCAGATATTTAAAAATTATTGCAATTACAGAATCAAATTTTAAACGCAATTTTGCCCAAATTTTAATTGTCTGATGGCGTTCGGGTGAGGGTGCTACTACTTAAAAATTGAAATAAAATTCCCTATTCTTTAAGATTGAGTAGGGCTCAGTCCCTTCTAAAACTCTGGTGATTTTCAGATGATTAGAATTATTAAATTTGGAAGAAATAAATTTTTATTTTCGTTTTTACCAAATTTTTATTGTCTGATGGCGTTCGGGTGAGGGTGCTACTACTTAAAAATTGAAATAAAATTCCCTATTCTTTAAGATTGAGTAGGACTCAGTCCCTTCTAAAACTCTGGTGATTTTCAGATGATTAGAATTATTAAATTTGGAAGAAATAAATTTTTATTTTCGTTTTTACCAAATTTTTATTGTCTGATGGCGTTCGGGTGAGGGTGCTACTACTTAAAAATTGAAATAAAATTCCCTATTCTTTAAGATTGAGTAGGACTCAGTCCCTTCTAAAACTCTGGTGATTTTCAGATGATTAGAATTATTAAATTTGGAAGAAATAAATTTTTATTTTCGTTTTTACCAAATTTTTATTGTCTGATGGCGTTCGGGTGAGGGTGCTACTACTTAAAAATTGAAATAAAATTCCCTATTCTTTAAGATTGAGTAGGACTCAGTCCCTTCTAAAACTCTGGTGATTTTCAGATGATTAGAATTATTAAATTTGGAAGAAATAAATTTTTATTTTCGTTTTTACCAAATTTTTATTGTCTGATGGCGTTCGGGTGAGGGTGCTACTACTTAAAAATTGAAATAAAATTCCCTATTCTTTAAGATTGAGTAGGACTCAGTCCCTTCTAAAACTCTGGTGATTTTCAGATGATTAGAATTATTAAATTTGGAAGAAATAAATTTTTATTTTCGTTTTTACCAAATTTTTATTGTCTGATGGCGTTCGGGTGAGGGTGCTACTACTTAAAAATTGAAATAAAATTCCCTATTCTTTAAGATTGAGTAGGACTCAGTCCCTTCTAAAACTCTGGTGATTTTCAGATGATTAGAATTATTAAATTTGGAAGAAATAAATTTTTATTTTCGTTTTTACCAAATTTTTATTGTCTGATGGCGTTCGGGTGAGGGTGCTACTACTTAAAAATTGAAATAAAATTCCCTATTCTTTAAGATTGAGTAGGACTCAGTCCCTTCTAAAACTCTGGTGATTTTCAGATGATTAGAATTATTAAATTTGGAAGAAATAAATTTTTATTTTCGTTTTTATCAAATTTTTATTGTCTGATGGCGTTCGGGTGAGGGTGCTACTACTTAAAAATTGAAATAAAATTCTCTATTCTTCAAGATTGAGTAGGGCTCAGTCCCTACTAAAACTCTGGTGATTTTCAGATGATTAGAATTATTAAATTTGGAAGAAATAAATTATTTATACCATTTTTAACAAATTTCGATTGTCTGATGGCGTACGGGTGAGGGTGCTACTACTTAAAAATTGAAATAAAATTCTCTATTCTTCAAGATTGAGTAGGGCTCAGTCCCTACTAAAACTCTGGTGATTTTCAGATGATTAGAATTATTAAATTTGGAAGAAATAAATTATTTATAACATTTTTAACAAATTTTCATTGTCTGATGGCGTACGGGTGAGGGTGCTACTACTTAAAAATTGAAATAAAATTCCCTATTCTTCAAGATTGAGTAGGGCTCAGTCCCTACTAAAACTCTGGTGATTTTCAGATGATTAGAATTATTAAATTTGGAAGAAATAAATTATTTATACCATTTTTAACAAATTTTCATTGTCTGATGGCGTACGGGTGAGGGTGCTACTACTTAAAAATTGAAATAAAATTCTCTATTCTTCAAGATTGAGTAGGACTCAGTCCCTTCTAAAACTCTGGTGATTTTCAGATGATTAGAATTATTAAATTTGGAAGAAATAAATTTTTATTTTCGTTTTTACCAAATTTTCATTGTCTGATGGCGTACGGGTGAGGGTGCTACTACTTAAAAATTGAAATAAAATTCTCTATTCTTCAAGATTGAGTAGGGCTCAGTCCCTACTAAAACTCTGGTGATTTTCAGATGATTAGAATTATTACATTTGGAAGAAATAAATTTTTATTTTCGTTTTTACCAAATTTTCATTGTCTGATGGCGTTCGGGTGTGGGTGCTACTACTTAAAAATTGAAATAAAATTCTCTATTCTTTAAGATTGAGTAGGGCTCATTCCCTACTAAAACTCTGGTGATTTTCAGATGATTGGAATTATTAAATTTGGAAGAAATAAATTTTTATTTTCGTTTTTACCAAATTTTTATTGTCTGATGGCGTTCGGGTGAGGGTGCTACTACTTAAAAATTGAAATAAAATTCTCTATTCTTCAAGATTGAGTAGGGCTCAGTCCCTACTAAAACTCTGGTGATTTTCAGATGATTAGAATTATTAAATTTGGAAGAAATAAATTTTTATTTTCGTTTTTACTAAATTTTTATTGTCTGATGGCGTTCGGGTGAGGGTGCTACTACTTAAAAATTGAAATAAAATTCTCTATTCTTCAAGATTGAGTAGGGCTCAGTCCCTACTAAAACTCTGGTGATTTTCAGATGATTGGAATTATTAAATTTGGAAGAAATAAATTTTTATTTTCGTTTTTACCAAATTTTCATTGTCTGATGGCGTTCGGGTGAGGGTGCTACTACTTAAAAATTGAAATAAAATTCTCTATTCTTCAAGATTGAGTAGGGCTCAGTCCCTACTAAAACTCTGGTGATTTTCAGATGATTGGAATTATTAAATTTGGAAGAAATAAATTTTTATTTTCGTTTTTACCAAATTTTTATTGTCTGATGGCGTTCGGGTGAGGGTGCTACTACTTAAAAATTGAAATAAAATTCTCTATTCTTCAAGATTGAGTAGGGCTCAGTCCCTACTAAAACTCTGGTGATTTTCAGATGATTAGAATTATTAAATTTGGAAGAAATAAATTTTTATTTTCGTTTTTACTAAATTTTTATTGTCTGATGGCGTTCGGGTGAGGGTGCTACTACTTAAAAATTGAAATAAAATTCTCTATTCTTCAAGATTGAGTAGGGCTCAGTCCCTACTAAAACTCTGGTGATTTTCAGATGATTGGAATTATTAAATTTGGAAGAAATAAATTTTTATTTTCGTTTTTACCAAATTTTCATTGTCTGATGGCGTTCGGGTGAGGGTGCTACTACTTAAAAATTGAAATAAAATTCCCTATTCTTTAAGATTGAGTAGGACTCAGTCCCTTCTAAAACTCTGGTGATTTTCAGATGATTAGAATTATTAAATTTGGAAGAAATAAATTTTTATTTTCGTTTTTACCAAATTTTTATTGTCTGATGGCGTTCGGGTGAGGGTGCTACTACTTAAAAATTGAAATAAAATTCCCTATTCTTTAAGATTGAGTAGGACTCAGTCCCTTCTAAAACTCTGGTGATTTTCAGATGATTAGAATTATTAAATTTGGAAGAAATAAATTTTTATTTTCGTTTTTACCAAATTTTTATTGTCTGATGGCGTTCGGGTGAGGGTGCTACTACTTAAAAATTGAAATAAAATTCCCTATTCTTTAAGATTGAGTAGGACTCAGTCCCTTCTAAAACTCTGGTGATTTTCAGATGATTAGAATTATTAAATTTGGAAGAAATAAATTTTTATTTTCGTTTTTACCAAATTTTTATTGTCTGATGGCGTTCGGGTGAGGGTGCTACTACTTAAAAATTGAAATAAAATTCCCTATTCTTTAAGATTGAGTAGGACTCAGTCCCTTCTAAAACTCTGGTGATTTTCAGATGATTAGAATTATTAAATTTGGAAGAAATAAATTTTTATTTTCGTTTTTACCAAATTTTTATTGTCTGATGGCGTTCGGGTGAGGGTGCTACTACTTAAAAATTGAAATAAAATTCCCTATTCTTTAAGATTGAGTAGGACTCAGTCCCTTCTAAAACTCTGGTGATTTTCAGATGATTAGAATTATTAA